TTCTATGTCATTGTCTAGTTTAATCAGGATTTGTGGACAAATGATTAAAATCAGAGGTCAGGTATTTTCTGATCAATTGCCAAGTCACGTTAAACCTCCATCTGAGCTTAGAGAGCAAGGAGAACCCACCGAAGATGAAGGCATGTGAGCATCTGTTTGCTGTTGCACCAGTCTGACAGTGTTTGTTTTCCTGCTGGATTAACAGGCTTTAATCTGTTAATCTCACTCAATGTCTCCTACTGGAAATAGCTGCACATCAGATTAAGAAGCTCTGCCAGCAACAGCTGAGAGGAATTTCTCCGTGATCAAGGGAAAAACAATCTGATGAGGCTGCAGAGGAGCAGGAGCTCCTTGTGAGATTGTCACCTGAGACTCTGAGTGCAATTCTTATTGTCTTCTGATTATCAACAAAGAAACTCACCATTAGAATAGGAAGAGAGGCCTTCTCTGAGCAGCTGTGACTCAGAAAACTCAGAATGTGAACAGAAAAGTTTGGATCATGTTTCAGCTTTTCAGACTGGAACAAAGACGGAGCTGCATGAACAGAGAGTCCTGATCTGTGCAGCGATACGTCGGTTTCACTCACTTCAAAGCTGCATGCATGTTTCAACCACTGATGATTTTACTTATTTAAGAAGAGCTGATGATAAATTATGTTTTTTACTGAATGACATCACAGCGTTTAAAAAATATTCCAGTAGTGAGCGGTTGATTTAAATTTAGAGCCAGGCAGAAGTGGAGATGCTCAACTGTTTTGAGCACACACTCTGACTTCAAACTTTTTGTCTCATCACACTTTTATAACTCGTGTGTTTACCAGCTACACCTCCGGTAATCCAGTCTCTGGTCAGACCTTTGCGTTTCTAAACATGTCTGTACATGAAGTTTGTGGGGAGCTCAAACATTTAGATATTAAAATGTATGGATAAAAAAAAGGCATACAGGATTTTACTAACTGCTTAAGAAGTAGAGGGAGATATTCTCACAGACAAAGATAGTTTCCCACAAACAGAAACATTGATTCTAGAGATAAGACCCACAGTCAGCCTTTTCTATCAGGAATTTATTTTTAGCTGAACCTGTGAGACATACAGTATACCCTTACTTAACCTACCCAATTAACAAAACTCTATTGCATTTGGAAAACTGCATTTGTTTTCTCTCTATTAAAAAGAGGAGATCCTACAATACCATATAATTACAAACCCATTTCAAAGCTGTGTGTTTTAGCAAAACTTCTTGAAAGTCAATAAACAAATAGATTAAACATTATTGGTATCCTGAAAACCTTTTATCACCTCATCAATCTGGTTTTAGAAAACAACATGAAATAGTTACTGCCTACCTGAAGGTCCTAAATGATGAAATTGAAGCTTTTGATACCAAGGACTACTGTGCTGCCCACTTCATGGATCTGTCCAAAGCCTTTGACACAGTTGATAATTTTGTCTCAAAGGCTTTTGGACATAGGTTTCACTAACTAGGCTGTGGGTTCCTAAATTATCTAACTGGTCTTAAACAGTGTGTACAGTATTGTATTCAGACACCAAACTATTGGGACAGCACTTGGGGGGTCCTGCAAGGGTCAATGTTTAGGACCTACTCTTTTTACTATTTACTTTAACAATGTGACCCATGGTATTACTAATGTGGCTGTAAATAATTATGCTGATGATTCCATAAGCTTTTGTCATGCAAAAGAAGTTAAGCTTTTCTTCAAGCACCTGTCTGTGTCACAGTTGGGTGGAGGTTTTGAGGACCCAAATGCAGAGATCAGGAGCCAGAGATGAATCTCGTAGATTTAATGACAGAACTGAGGCAAAACACAAAAATACAAAATACAAGAACCAAAAGACCAGAAAACGTCTGAGGAAAACTCATGTGTGAAGCCAGAGATTAGGAAGCAACTAAACAACAACAAGGAACCAGCCCTGAGTGACAGCAGAGGTGGTGTATATAAGGGGAACAGAACAAAGGATGGACTAATGAGCTGAATATGGAGCAGGTGTGAGTGGAACTAACTAGAAGGAAGCCAAGGGGAAAGGAAAAAAGCACAAGGCGGCAACAGAGAGTAACTTAAGACTGCTTGAATATAATGGAAAATAAACCCTAAGATCAACAAAACAGAATAACTGAAAACTAAAAACTCAGGCTCAAAAGGAGAGAACCATAACAGTATGCTTTTAAGACAATTCAGTCACAGTTTTCACAACTTCAATTACTGCTAAATGCAAGCAAGATTAAAATAATTGTATTTTCCAGCAAATAGAAGAGGCCTTCACCTCTCCCTACTGTCACCACAGTTTTGCAATTGCAGATTGACTTAGTATCTTAAACCTGCTCAAAAAGCTTAATCTAAAACTTCTTCTTTTTTTCAAGATAAATCTTATTTGCCAGAACAGCCTGTTTCTGCCATGTTCCTGAGCCTGTTAGGTTATGACTATGCTGTTTACATAAAAGCCTCTAACAGCTCATGACATGTTTTGGAAGCTGTGTATCATGGAGCTCTCAGTCTCACTCACCCTCTACTCACTGGTTAACTGGCCCTCTCTACACGCAGACTGCTACACATTTATTTACAGATCCAGTCTTCATCTGGTACCACCCTATTTGTCATGTTCACATCTATTAAATTTCAATTAAGTTTATTTATATAGTGCCAATTCACAACACATGTCATATCAAGGCACTTTACAGTTCACCGATCATAGAGTCAAATTGATTCAAAGTTTTCTAGTAGTTTAGCCAGTCACAGTCAGAGAAACAGGACTACACTGAAAAACAGGCTGATCTCCAACATCTATAACCAAAGGTATTGATGGCAGCTGCACAGCTGTTATTTCTCTCCAGCATGGTGTCACAGCCAAGCAGGACATATCTCACATAAACAGCAGTGCCAGAGCCTCCCTTCACAGGATTTGATCCTTTCCAGTGTTCCTTTGGTACTTTGTGTCCTGAACTTTGCAAAAAAAGCATTTTCCACTCTGGTCTATCCACCTAGAACCTGCTTCAGTACGACCTGAAGTTATCTAGTCTATTCACACTTGGGGAATTTTATTGATACTTCTAGAAAATACATGTTTTGGCATCTGCACATGTTTTAAATTATTTCATGAACAATTCATAACTGATCTTTTTTTACTGTGTATTTTATAATTTGTGTATTGTATAATACTGTTAACGGTTATTGTTTTTAAAAATATGTTCCTCTTGTAAATGAGATTTTAAATCTTAAGACGTTTTCCTTTCTAAATAAAAGATTAAATAAAATACTTTAATATAAGGAAAAATGATTTAGATAATGTACAAAAAAGCTGCTAATTACAGACACAATCAAATTGTTCTTCTGAGGCAGTTTTAAAGCTATTCTAATTTTATTATAAATGCTTGAAGAAAAAGCTTTGCTTTGAAACATCCACACTGACCCGTGATATCACCTCCTGTGTGGCTGTTACCGGTTTTGTTCTTTGACACTGGAATAAAGGTCGCCAACAAAGGAATAAAGATCGTATTTCTCTGGAAGCAGCAGTTAAACTCATTGTTCTTCAAATTCAACCCCTTTATTCATTGGGAACATTACTCTGCTGATCAGGCGTGAAAAATACTGCAACAGGCCGCTCTGGGTTTTCTGTTTGCAAAACATTTCTTCAGTTTGCTACTGATTCTTTTTTCAGATTCAAACCTTGAACTACTCCACGTTCTGGGGTTTTGAACTTATTCAGCGTAAACCGCAAAAAGAGAGTTCCCGTGTTCCACAGTGATGAGGCTTTCTGGGCAAAACCAAAACCATCTGGAGCCCTTTTAGTTAGTGGGCTGAATACATGAGGTACAACTGTAGCACAATTGTAGTTAAGATTGTAGAACAGTCTGTAATATAGGCTTTTGTATAAATTGTGGTAATCATAATAGTACATGCTGTAAACTCGGCTATAGTAGAAATTGTAATACAGGTACTAGTACAAGTGGTAGCAAAGGATGGAGAACAGGCAAGAGTTCTGGTTGCAGAATCAGCTGTAGTACGGATTGTAGTACAGGAAGTAGTACAGGACGTATCGTGTCTTATAGCTCATTTGTGCAAGTAGTGGTTTAGGATGGAGTTGAGGCTCTGATACAGGCTAGAATTGGGCTGTTGTAAAGTAGTACAGTACAGCTGCAGTACAGGTAGTGGTACTAGTCATATATATATATATATATCATACTATTTTATATAATAGTAAAAGGTTATAGTTAGGGTTGTATTACAGGTTGTAGAGCTGCTGCAGAGGTTACTGTCAGTCAGTGGGGATTTAATCCAGTTCTCAGATAAACATGATAATCTCATTAAGGAGTTTTCACACTCCACCAGCTGATAAACTGTAGAGGTTGGTGAAGACAGTCTTCATTGTTGTTTTCCTCAAGTTTTTGAAGGCAGATGGATCCCAAGTCTTGTTCCTTTGAATAAGCAACCGATGCAGATCATTTTCCTCGGGCAACCATATGGTCTTATTAACATAAAAATGGTCAAATGTATGCAGATGACAGTTTTTTTTGTAGACAAAGAGCAGTAATACTGTCACCAGAAATGTCTGGAGTCTGTCACTGGTTTATAAATAACCATTGCATTTTGAACTATACAAAGAGAGCATTGATTATCTTTTCAGTTTAGAACAAAAAAAAAATATTCTAAGGTACTTTAAAAGTTTAACCGACTCTAAAGATACTGGAAAACTATCCATGTGTTATTAAAAATATGTCTCAGCATGTTTAAGGTGTAACATGCAACATTTAAGATGTTTCAGTGCAGATTTTCCAATCAGAAGTGTTTACAGTCTGTCAATGTGGAGAGAATTTAGCTTTGAAAAAAAAAAGAAAAAACTAAGTTCCTCTCGCCACCTTTTTTTGATTGGTTGGTTTTCAGAAGCTGAAACTGGACTGGAAACCAGAGCCATGGACTGGAGGACAAAGAACTGCTCTGGGTGCTGCTGGGAACCTGCAGACTCATTGTTTCTGTGTTGTTTCAGGTTACAAAACTCTACTCAAAGGGATCTCTGGGAAATTCACCAGTGGGGACCTTGTGGCCATTATGGGGCCCTCAGGAGCTGGGAAGTCCACGCTCATGAATATCCTGGCAGGATACAGGTGAGCCTGTGGCCTTTTAATCCTCACTCTGATCAGGTTCTGTGGAGGTCTGAGTTTTCCTTTGCAAGCATAAACATTTCAGACTGGATCTCTTTATGAATCAGATATTCTGATTTCTTCATTCTCCAACAGGGAGACAGGAATGAAAGGGGAGATCCTGATCAACGGTCAACCCAGAGACCTGCGCTCTTTCCGGAAGGTTTCCTGCTACATCATGCAGGACGATATGTTGCTTCCACACCTCACTGTGCAGGAGGCCATGATGGTAGGCTCAGATCCTCTGCTAATCTGTCTTAAGGGAAAATGTCCAAATAATTCAATTCAATTCCGTTTATATAGCGCCAATTCACAACACGTCATCTCACAACACTTTACAGTTAACAGGATCATACAGTCAATTTGAATCAAACTTTTTTTATCTAAGGAAAACCAGTTGATTGCATCGACTCATTGACTTGAATGCAATCCCTCACACTAAGCGTGATTGTAGCGACAGTGGAGAGGAAAAACTCCCTTTTAACAGTAAGAAACCTCCAGCAGAACCAGGCGGCTCAGTTTGAGCGGCCATCTGCTGAGGCCGACTGGGGTTCAAGGAGACAGAAGCAGAGATACAAAAGGCAGCTGTAAAAGGTGGCCCCATCCAGGAAACACACATGCAGGCATAAGAGCTGTGAGCCAACTCCCATGTCAGAGGATGAAGAGAGCACATCCATCCACAGTCAGAGAAACAGGTCTACACTGAAAAACAGCCTGATCACTAAAACCTAATTTATTGTTGTTTTATTACATTAATCTATGTTCACCTTTATTTGCCAGAGTTATGATCTCCTACGGACTGAACTGACCAGTCAGAGCATCTAATTTCTTTTAGGATTCCTAAATTCATCTTTTATATGAGCAAACATGAAAAGATGATGGGATTATCGTGTTTGATTTACTCTTATGCCAAGGTTTTATTTAATTTGTATACTGATTCGGATCATTAAGGACTCCAAACTGCTCTCAAGCAGAATGTATTGGTCAGTTATAGATAAAACTTGCAGCGCATATTTTCTTTTGTCTGAAAGAACTTAAATTAAGCCAAACACAAGAAAAATCTTGACCTGTTGCAGTTTATGGTCTTCAAGCAATTTTCAACAAGTCTTTGTTGGGAACAAAGAGAAAGGTTTTGCTAGCTTAAGGAAAAGTTCTTGTCTATTAGGTTCCTCCTCAGGCCCATAACACAAAGCAATGATATTCAGATAAGAGAGGCTTTGATAGGCAGGGCGTTGTTTGGAATTCTCACACATCAATGCAGCACGGCTGTAAGCAGTGCAAGTGTTGACCCAAACACCCTACATCTTAAATGGCCAATTTAACTCCTCATTATACCAATTTTCTGGTTCAATATTAAGTTAACATGGTTGCAGAAGATGGTTAAAGATTGGGTGAAGTTTGTCTGAAAATAAAAATAAAACTTTTAGCTGCTTTATTATATTATTTACATAATAGGGGTCTGGGATTCTATTGTGTGCTATTTATTGCGCCATAGTCTGAACCGTAAATAAATATACTAACATCATGAGGTTAAAAGATCAAACAGACATCTCTAGTCCTAGTTGTCATGTTAGTACCATATCTGTTCCTCTTGCAAATTTCAAACATGTATATTAGTTTTAGTTCATGTCCAGATGCTACAAACGTAACATCTGTGTGTCTCTGCAGGTTTCAGCCAACCTGAAGCTACAGGAAAAGGTGGAGGCTCGGAGGGAGATGGTACACTTGCTTTTGTACAGTTTCTCTACCCCAGTTAAGACATCCAACTCTGCTCAGCAGATCTGATTTTGTTTTCGGCTCCATCAGGTTCAGGAGATCCTGACAGCTCTGGGGCTGCTTGACTGTGCTAAAACAAGAACATCGCACCTGTCAGGGGGTCAGAGAAAGAGGCTGGCCATCGCTCTGGAGCTTGTCAACAATCCTCCAGTTATGTTCTTTGATGAACCTACCAGGTGAGAAAAAGATCTGATGTCAACTATAGGTCTCCTAATCATTTCAATCAGTTTTCCTCTTCTTGTTATTAAGAGTTACAGTGTTTTTCCTAGTTGGTTTAGTTAGGGATATGTATACTGCTGGTTCTGTTGATTATTGTGCAGTTAAGTATTTTTTGTTTTGGAAACTTGAAATCATATTGAGCAGTTTGGGTCATTATTGCTTCAGATTCCTGAGAAAGCACTGACACAACATTTGCTCTTGTGTGTTTGTGTTCTAGTGGTTTGGACAGTTCATCTTGTTTCCAAGTCGTCTCTCTTCTCAAAGCCCTGGCTCGAGGAGGACGGACCGTCATCTGCACCATTCATCAACCTAGTGCCAAACTCTTTGAGCTTTTCGACAAGGTAATGGGGGGAGAGCAAAGTGTCTGACATAATACACCAATAGTATTAACCTACAGACACTTCTAAGTATGCTCTAACATTAACACCCCTAAGATCCAGCACTGTTCTAAGACTTAATACCACCACAAGACCCGTCACCTCTTTAAGACCAAAACTATTCTAAAACCAAGCTCATCCAAAGAACAAACACTATTCCAAGGCCCAACACCATCCTAAAGGCTGGAACAGACCTGATTTAACATCTGATCGGACGGAATATCGGATCAGATGAAGTTTTACCATGTACACTTGTGTCCATGGCCCTGGTTCAACTGCCCACAATTCTCTCCAACTGTACCTGGGTAGTTACAACCAAGGCAGAACCCTGGTATATTTTGGTAGGACCAATGAGAATGCCATTAGTCAGGCATAAACAAAGACATGGTGGCAAAGGAAAAAAGATCTGCTTTGGCGGAAAAACAAAGAGCCTCTGTCTCCAGGAGGATCCTCATTTGGGCTTTAATAAAAATGTCGATTGGTCCAACTAGTCAACTTAGCTAGACTAATTTTACCCACATCTGGAAACTCAAAAGTTGCCTGCAGGGCGGTGTGTGTGTGGCATGCAAAACAGCTCTCTTATTACATTATTTTATGGGGTTACTAGAGCACACACTACAGTTAGCAATAATGGCCTGATTAGATCTACCTGACCGTCACAGCAACAGGATGAATTGTAACTAATTTAAGTTCAGGTTAGGATTAACCCTTACTGTCAAATAGTCGACTTGGAAAAATCCCTCTCCGTTAATTCCCTATTCCCCATTTAGGTTAGTGTTAAAAAACACTGCATTTATAGCTAACAGGAGAGACTTGGACATATCAAACTGAGAACATATATATATAAAAAAAAAAACAAGATACTTACCAATGGTCCTAGCAGAGGAATATAGAAAACAGACAGATTGAAGCTGGGATCTTCATTAAACTTCATCAACCACAGATTAACCTCAGACGATAGACCTACCTGGCTTGTTTATACTGGGAAATTTTCCAGGACATTCAAAACTCAAATCTTGTGTTGCCAGTGGTCCTTAGAAGGAGCAATTAAGCCCTCAGTATGACAGATTAAAATTCTATTGCAAATTGGAGCTTGTAGAGCCAGACATAAGCGGTTTGTTCTAGCCTTAAGACCAAACGCCATCCTAAGACTCAACACCATCCTAAGGCCAAAGACCATCAAAATACCATACTACGGTAATACTCAACGTGATCTAAAGACTATCCTAAGACCAGTGTTGTTTTCGTCAGCCATGACGATGACAAAATCATTTTGTTGAGGCAAATTTTTTTCATGAGGATAATGAGAACTGACCAGCTAAGTGTAGATCTTTGTTGACGAAAACTTAAGAGTTATGGGTGTGTGTTTTTGTCCCGTTGACGAAAACCTACACCCATAATTTGGGAATTATTGGTCTGAGGAAGGAGTGGAACCAGTAGGATGATTTCTCCTTAGCATGCGGCACGAGCCACCCAGAGAGTACTGAAGGGAAATCCAAGTTCAGGAGACAGATCCAAGGTCGTTAGCAGGCAGAATCCAAATAGCAGCTTTAAGACAGGCCAGGCAAATCTGATCAGAACAGGAGCAAGCAAAACTCAGAAGTCCAGAGGCAGAAACTAGTCAGAATCAGGTAATCAGAAAAACACTAGGTAGGCAAGAGAACTCTCACACACGGCTCAAATAATCTGGCACTGATGGGAACAAGCAGTTTAAATAGGAACTGGAACAGGTGGATCTGATTAGTGAGAATGAAAACTAGGCAGAGCTAGCAGGTGGAAGAAATTGACCAATAATCCAGTCATCAGTGCCAAGATTATGACATCCAAAGACCAAAGACCATACAAAGACTAAACATACAAAGAGCCGAGACCATCCTAAAATCTAATACCAAGCACCAGCCCAGCTCTACTTTAAGAACTGACACCATGCTAAAAGTCCTAATCATTGCGAGACACAACAGTGTTCTGAGATACTTTACATAGTTCCAGAATCTGAAAGCCTTTCTGGTTTATGCAGATGTGATTTCTAGATTTCACATGCCCTGGTATACATTTTATGAAAATGAGTGGCAGCCATTGCAATTTGTTTTAGTGTAGGTGTTAGGGAAATAGATATTTACCTTAAAATGTAAGGTGCATTCAGTATTTGGAGGGGTTAACAAAGATTAACCTAGAGCTGGATGTTTTATAACTGACCTCTTTGGACTAAACCACTAGATGGCTTCACCAACCTTCTTAATCATATTGATTGAAAACATTTAACATTTTAAAAGCCTTTAAATCAAATTACACATAAAATGTTGGAGTGTCATACAAATTTTACTGAGTGTAAATAGATTTACCAAAAGATGTGTTGATGACAAGCAAAAGAAGAGGTTATGAGTTAAATGAGACAGAAAGAAAATAAATCTGCTTACCATTTTTGGCCTTAAAGTTGAAATATTTTTTTTTTAATCTGAAATTAACTTTATTTTCTGCAACAAGGTATTTTCTTTTCTGCCTTTCAGATTAAGCTTCTTTCTGTCCATCATTGTCACCCAGAACATTTTAGGAACACAGTACCAATAACATTTCCAGGCAAACTGAACTGTTTGGAAAAGAGACCTCAGAAAACTCAAATAGATCCAGAGTTGTAGTAACCTGAGATTCCTGATCTCTGTGTGTGTGTTTTAGCTCTATGTGCTGAGCCAGGGTCAGTGCATCTACAGAGGAAAAGTGTCCAGCCTGGTTCCATACCTGCAGAACCTCGGACTGAACTGTCCCACCTACCACAACCCAGCCGATTTCAGTAAGAACAGAAGCACCACTCTCATTCCAAGACCCGTTCTCTGACTCAGAACCTGGTCACCCGGGTTATGAGGAATAGTCGTGACAGTGTCCTCTGTGTAGTAGACAGCAGGCAGTGTGATTTCAGTTTGGACGTAAAGGGAATGATCTGTCAGGCTGAAGCCGGGCAGAGCAGAAGCTCGGAAGGATTCTGGCGTACCTTTAGATGCATGAAACCTTTGCTTAACTTCAAGCCAAGGTCTTGTTCATCTTAGACAGGAATTAAAGCAGGAACTTTAAAAAGACAAAACATTTTTTTATTTCAAGTTTGAGGAGCTTGGATGGAGAAAAGCTGGCATTAAGTTGGTGCTAGGGTCTCCGATGTAGTTAACCAATTTAGAATAGCTTAGGATAGGCATATCAACGTGGAGCATCTCAGTATCAAAAAGCAGTCTTCTTTAACTTTTCTGCGATTCTAGCATGGAGGTGGTTCTCTGCATAAGCTTTTTGGGATGGGGCTCATAGTCTGTTGATATATCAAATCAAATGTTATGTCCTTATTCTTAGCCACCTGGGAAAGTTAATTCCATGCTACTAAAGACACATCTGTCTGAGGTGAACCTTATGTTCAGGAGCATTCTGGTCTTTGTCCTGGCGATCTCAAACTAAACCACCTCCTTACCCTCACCATGACATTTCAGCTTATATAGACTTTTTTAAGGCTATGCATGTCAGCTCGAGGGAAGGTAGAAGACGACTTTTGGATTGGGAAGGATGTTCTGTCACAAAGTGATGAGAGATGGGGATTAGATAAAATTTATAGTCACGAAATACATTTGATTTGGGTACAGACTCTGGCTGCTACATAGCCCAAACTATGTGTCACACTGCATTCACACATAAAAACCCTGCTACAGAAATTCCATTATAGGACAATAAATAAATACATAATGAAAAATGTTACATTTACATTTACATTTACATTTAAGAAAAAAAATATAAAAACCCTTCTTTAAAAAATCTACTACATGCGAAAATGAAAATAGAAACAAGCATATCCGTTTAGTGTAAATTTTGAATACCCTTGCATATTCCACAATTTAATGCTTGATACTGTTTATTGCTTTAATGGAAAGCGGAACAAATGAGCTCTTATAGCAGTTCAATCTACAGGCAGGGACTCTAAGGAAGGGGCTCGACCTGAAGGAAGGAACTGATACTCTGAATAAACAAATATGAGTGGGGTCTGAGATGATTTTCTGGCCTTGTCTAGTTATTGTTTCATTGAAGATGGTTTAAAGTAAAGGGTGCTTAACAAGTTCCATCAAATTCATTGCTCTTTGAGTCAGGCAATTAAGTTTGGCCTCCATTTACAAACCAAGACAGGTTGCCAAACCAGGCAGACATGCCATACCAAATGATGTTCTCTATAACAGCACGGTAAAAGAGCAGCATGGCTTTCTGACTGACACCAAAGGCCCTCAGCCTGCGCAGAAAATGTAGCCACTGCTAGACCCTGTTGCAGACATAATCAACTTGAGCAGTCCGAGATAATTTATTGTTGATTTTTAATCCAAGATGTTTATAGGAATCTGCTTGCGCAATTAATTGATTATGGATGACCAATGGATGGGGCTAACTAAATAGACTGGAGCAGCATTTTCTGATATTGTCATGTTTAAAAGTGTACTGAACTTTGCTGAGGAGCTAAGCATAGGGTATCTGCTTCTACTCTTGTTCTTGTCTGTCTGTCTTCTCTATAAGTCATGGAGGTTGCATCCGGGGAATACGGGGACCAGATGGTGAGACTGGTCAGGGCAGTTCAGGACAGGAGGTCTGAGGAGGTCCATCAGAAAGAGCTGAATGGAGAAGCCAGCCTCCACCCGCTTCTGTGGCAAGAGGTAGAAAACAAACCACTCTAGGATCTCAACTGGAATATCAGACAGTAAAATAAAAACATACAGTCGGTGTTCTGGATGATTTCTTACAGCTGAATGTTTCTGCTCTGCTCAGGAGAGTTCTTCATCTGAAGGTTGCCACAGCTTCTCAGCCAGCTGCAAGACTCAGTTCTGCATCCTGTTCAGGAGGACGTTCCTCAGCATCCTCAGAGACTCGGTGAGAAAGCTGGTCTCCCTCCTACAGCTGCTGGAGGCTTACCTCCACTATCTCAGATTTGATTCTGACCCATTTGAAAAAGATCTGAGAGTGGATCATTGATGCTTATAACCTGAGAAAATAAAATTACTGTGATTGGCAACTTCTCAAGAAATTCAATTCAGTTCAAGTCAGTTTAATTATATAGCGCCAATTCACAACACATGTCACAACAAAAGTCATCTCAAGGCATTTTACAGTTCACCAGATCATACAGTCAAATTGATTTAAAGTTTTCTGTCTAAGGAAAAACAGTTGATTGCATTGACTCATTGACTCAAATACAATCCCTCACACTAAGCATGCTTGTAGTGACAGTGGAGAGGAAAAACTCCCTTTTAACAGGAAGTAAATCTCCAGCAGAACCAGGCTCAGTGGGAGCGGCCGTCTGCCGAGGCCGACTGGGTTTCAAGGAGACAGAAGCAGAGATACAAAAGTAGCTGTAAAAGGCGGCCCCGTCCAGGAAACACACAGCCAGGCAGACCAGCTCCGAGCCAACTCCCATGTTGGAGGATGAAGAGAGCACATCCAGCCAGTCACAGTCATAGAAACTGGACTACAGTGAAAAACAGGCCGATCAACAACATCCATAAACAAAGGTGTTGATGGCAGAAGCACAGCTGATATTTCTTTCCAGGATGGTATCAAAGCCAAACAGGAACAGACGAGGCAAAGCTACAATGAGAAAAAGCAGAGAGAGCATAACTTTGGAGATTAAACTAAAAGATTCTGCAGAGTAGGAGAATAGCGATAGAATGAGGCAGAATGATGAAGAAGGGCCCCTATGTCCTCCAGATGTCTAAGCCTATAGCAGCATATTTATAGAGATAGTTCAGGACAACCTGAGCCCCTCTAAATATAAGCTTTATCAAAAAGGAATGTTTTAAGCCAACCCAAAAAATAGACAGGGTGTCTGCTTCACAGACTACAACTGGTAGTTGGTTCCACAGGAGAGGAGCCTGATAACTAAAAGATCTGCCTCCCATTCTACTTTAAGAAGTTCTAGGAACCACTAGTAAACCTACAGATTGAGAGGAACATAAGGAACAATCATATTTCTGATATAAGATGGAGCTTGGCCATTTAAGGCTTTATATGTGAGAAGGAGGATTTTAAATTCTATTCTTTGATTTAACATGAAGCCAATGAAGAGAAGCCAGGATAGGAGAGATATGATCCCTTTTTTTAATCAGAACTCTGGCTGCAGCATTTTTGATCAGCTGAAGGCTTTTACTCCAGCCTTGAAGTAACAAATGGATGGACTAGTTTCTCAGCATCACCCCTCTATCCAACCTCTATTGTTTTCTTCCTATTTGCAGCTTGTAAAATTCTGGCTTCATATGGAACAGTCATTTGAGTCATTAACAACTGTGAACTAGAGTTTTTTCAAGCAATGCTTTCCCCAACTTTGAACTAATCTGACAATGTGGTCTGGTTGAATTGACTCTGTAAAGAGCCTTGAGATGACATGTGTTGTAAATTGGCACCACATAAATAAACTAAATTTAATTTAAATTGAATTATGTTGTTTTATGTTTCACACATAAAATGGATCTTAATAGACTCCCAAATAAATTAAAAATGTTTTCCACATTATGTAACATGTATCCCTGACACCTTAAATGAAAACAAGCAAATATTGTAGATTTGAATGAAAGAGCTGCATTATTTTGCAGTTTGTACATCCTGGTTGTTTGTTGATTTCATTAAAATAATTTATTCTTTTTAATCAGTTATCATAGAATAATTGTTAATTTCTCTAGTATCTGTATAACACTGTGACTGGCTGAGCAGGTGCTGACCCACCTCAGGATCTCCTCTCACATCGGGATCGGAGTTCTGATCGGGCTCCTGTACCTGGGCATCGGAAACGAGGCCAAGAAGGTTCTGAGTAACTCAGGCTTCCTCTTCTTTTCCATGCTGTTCCTCATGTTTGCTGCTCTCATGCCTACTGTACTCACATGTGAGTCAGCATGTCTCTCTTAGTATAGTACACAGAAGTAGAACCAGAGGAACATTCCTGGTTCCTCCTCCTGGTCCATTTTTTCCTTCCTAATATTATCCTCCCATGTTTCTGTGCTCAGTTCCTCTGGAGTTGGGGGTTTTCCTGAGGGAACACCTGAACTACTGGTACAGTCTGAAGGCTTACTACTTGGCCAAGACCATGGCTGACCTTCCCTTCCAGGTAACTTCCTCACACACATGTTCCTCCAGTATTATTAAACACCTATCGAACACCTGGACCTTGATTTTGAGCTTTGAGGGACAGCCATGACGTGTTTATAGGTTGGATCTTAGAGTAACCTGCCAAGAATAAGATATCTGTCAATAAAAACCTAGAGTAGGTTCTTTGGGGGGATACCTATAACTTCACTATATTTCTAGAAAGCTAGTCGTTATTCATTCCTTTTGCTCAGCTTATCTTTCTTATCATCATATCAATTTAACTTTATTGATCTCACATTGGAGAAATTTACCTTTGTATTTTGCCCCTCCACTTGGGGAGCAGTGGGCTGCCATTGTGGGGCGCCCGGGGAGCAGTGTGGGGCTAAAAATCTTGTTCATAGACCCTGAGTGGCAGTTTCTGGAAGTGGGGCTTGAACCCAGACCCACAGGATTCCAAGCTCTATACCCTAACCAATAGCAGGCCACTTCTCTCTTTTTGTTTATCTTTCTTGAAATGAAATTCGCCACATTAGGTTCTCACAAAGTTCATCCTAATGAATGAGTATCCTGGTTGTTAAGGTCGTTAATTAGCACCATATACAGAACTTATACATGGCCTTGAGGACTGAATTTAGACACCACTGTCGTAGAGATTTAATGACATTCCACAAATAAGAACAACTTAGGGCAGATATATTATTGGTAGTTTACAAATTTTATAAATGCTGAGAGTTGTAGTTTATTTGTGGTAATAGACTCAAGCCTCCTGATTTCTTTTTTGTTGTTTTTCTAAAAAAAAAAAAAAA